TATAGAGTCGCTTGTAAGCCATAGAGCAGAAAGCCTTCGCTATGATGATCATCCACTTGGGCCAACGTAACTTCTACAAGGCATTCGCTACTGGTTGACTTATGGAATAGCGGATTTCCGCGTCTACGGTGGAACAAAGGCCTCTGAAGAAGACGATTAGTCGAAACGTCAGGCCGTTAAATAAATAGTTCCACCTAAAAACCTCGTGAGGCACAATATAACACACTGAATTATTGAAAACTAACATGCCGAGGTTACAAGAAGAGAGAAGCTGGAGAACCTCAAGGCAGAATTCTAGCGTCTTCTCACCTGCATTCATACAAAATTGACGCTCGTGAGTTCTTGCTCGCAGTTCAAGACCACCCATACTTTATCTAGGGCCGGGATGCAACCTCACAGTCGTGAATGACGTCTAAGGCGATGTACATCGCTGCTACAGGCATAGAATCGGTACTGCTTCTACAAGAAATTGAGGTACACTAACACAGACCCTAACATACACCCTCCCCTCTTGACCATATTCAGTTCCGGACATAACTCTGGCAGCAGTTGCAGCAGGGATGTCTCGCAGGGAAGCTCGATAAGGGTCCAGGCTCTGTAATCAGACACTCGACGCTTGACTTCATCCACTCGCTTCTCTTGTGCAGTATGAATACTATGGGGCTCGCCTCGACCACAACTTTTTTCTCTCGTCTTTCTTTGAGTTCTGAACCGAATCTTCCGCATTCCCTTCAGAGAACACCATTAGGTGCAACTACCGGTCTAGCCTAGGACAAAGTTGAGCAATCACGTTCCATCCTATGATGCCCGATCCATAGACCTGTGTTGATTTCGACCACACTGATTCCTTTCACCTCCTCTTGATTTTCTTCCGTGGCTAGGCTAGCGTCAATGTTGCAGTCGCAAATAATAGCAATGAATCGCGTCGCGGAAGCCTTGTTTAGTGGACCCTTATGAAGCCTCAGATGCAAAAAGTAATATGTCATGCGATCCCAGAGCCCTTTGCTCGCTTATTCAAGAGGCAAACAAGTCTTACTCCTCTGCAACGGCTGGTCTGGCTGCCGAATACGGAGGGGCACTCGTCCTTCAAAGGTGAATTGCATATACACCCACGAGAGTCCTAGTCATTGCAAAGTGTGAGGTAAACAGGTGTGCAATAGCGTGCCATTTTCTTCGGTCAAAGTGCACGGGGAAAAATTCAGGGGGTAGGGCCCCGTCTTTTTGTTCCCGCACGGCTAGCCACACGCTGAAGCGTACTCACGCGCTACATATCTGCGCCTTCACACTTCTTATTGTGCTATACCGCAACGTGCGTGCTTCGCAGGACCTTGATGTCAAAGCAGCTGCCGCACATTGAGTGCGCGGGCTTAGTATGGGCAGCACAGTCGAGCACTACTATTCTTGTGTTCCCTTCTCTCTGCTCCCCCTTGCTAGGAGCTGAGAGCTGAGTACACAGCTCAGTTTCAGAGGCGCTCCTTTCTTTCCATCTAACATTAGAGGACCCCTTACGAAAGCAGTGCTCACTCCTCTGGGTAGCATAGAAATTGCTTTCACGAAATGACACGGATAGAAGCCATATGAATGGCTGCTTAGTGGGACTGCTGTGCCTGACCTTTCTATCTTTTTCGTTTCCTGTGTTAGAATGTTAGAAAGCTAGAAAGTTGGAGAAAAGTTCATTTTTACAATGACATAGCTCGTGCTGAGATGGGGATGGGGTGTTCCGAAAGGAACCTTGAGCGCCCACCCACACTCAAAGCAGGAAAAAAAAAACAAGTTTTCGCACATTATTACAGTTTCGACTTCAGGTTCGACTCCTTGAAGAGTGACTTGAGCCTCGTAACTTTTCCCATGACTCCTTTTGCTTTAATCTTTCCCAACCTATATGCCTGAAATGAGATTTTACAGTTATTATTCCTGAATATACAGATCACAAAGAGTTCACCAGATCCTGGTAGCATCTTTCCAGTAACAATTTTACAAAATCAATGTCCTTCACCTGACCTCGACTTCATATGGTCGCTCATCGTGACCCACGTAAGCCGGTTTGCTCTGAAAACTATCGGGCTTGATTTTGTTGCCTCCAAAGGCTACTGTACTGAAAGTTGAACGAAAGTGTTAAAAGCTGTAAAAATGATCACTGATACATCAGTTTGTACCTTAGTATCAATTATCCACGATTTCACAGCACCGTCATCAGCCTTCAAGTTGATTTTGTATGAGGAATGCACTTTTGAGCGAGACCCTCGTCCTTTAGAAAAGTGGATCCTCGATCTTGCTGCAGCAAGTCGAGGAAGGTATTACAAATTAGGTCGCTGAGCTCTGAAAATGTAAGCGGTTTTCCAGGGTCATACCCTTTACCCGGGGCCGCTTCTAATAATGTCAACGATTATGCACTGAATCACTGTGATGCGGTAGGCGGGGCCATATACACTCCATTTCAAGGAGGTGGAGAGTCCGTGGTTCCGCGCTTTCGTGAACGAGGCTTCAGCTGTGCCTCTCAAGGGATATTGCTGTTTCAGAACAGCTGCAACCACGACTTTTTCAGTACAGAAAGGACAACACTTGAATCAAATTGAAATATTCTAACTATAAGATCAACACATCCGACGCTATGTCCCACTAGAGTACTCAAAATGAACTGCCGCAAAGAAGACTTTTCAGAGCGTGATCGACAGGCTTTCCGTTTTTTTTCATAGGTAGGGCCGGTTTATGTAACACATACTTCCCCTCCTTAAAAACACTTCTCGCGGTCAACTGATCACCGTGCATTTGGCATCATTGTCCGCATTCACAGAAAATACGCCACTTTCGCCATTGGAAATGGCGAGATAGCGAAGATAGAGAGTGAGTCTCGCGCAACCGCCTACTGCAACCCTGCAAGCAGCGGCTTACAGCGGAAATGAGTGTGTACATGGTTTGCCTGGAGCACCTTAGGACGATTTCCTATACTCTTGCAGTGACTGGCTCCACTTACAATCAGAGGCCTGCTGACTGGGTTTGTCCTCATGATGAACTCAACGACCTCGACGAGTGCAATCGCTCTACAAGGTTGAAAACACCCTGTGCGCAGACCCTTCCCAACTGCTAGGGGAGGGGTCTGCGCTCAGGGTGTTTTCGAACTTGTTCCTGCTTCTTTCTCAACTGTTGTGTTTTTGGTTCATGACCCTGTCTATAAATGTAGAGCGACTGCATTCGCAGAACTTCATTCTAAAATATGAAAAATATTACAACCGAATTTCATTAGTGCATAGGTCAGACGGCACATCTTGAGTTTCATTTTGACATTTTCGTATCACTGACATCACTGTGGGACGAGGTACTGGAAAGGCTTCTCCGATTTCCGCCTTGAGCCTCTTTGGATCGATAAGTGTCTTCAATTTCATCGCTTTTGCGATGCTTCCTTCCAATTTCATCTTCCCCTGCATGAATGCCTGCAATAATGGCATAATTACTGCCAAGTTGCGAAACAAAGCAATAGACAGACTGGGGATATTTACCTGATCAGGTTTGAGTTCTCCTGCTGCAATTTTCACAAAATCGCTGTCTTTGACGTGAATCTCTATTTCGGCTGGCTTCTCTTTGAGTCCAACGTTGGTATTGTGCTCTCAAAAGGTACACTCCTTATCCCTGAGACGGAGTAGGCGTGGCTTTTGAGCATGGCATAGGACGGGTTTCTCGTGGGATACTTCAATTTGAAACAACTGCTATCTTGTTCTGTGTTAGATGTAGACATGATTACGACTGCTCCAAAATGACAATATCTCACGAAAACCTGGGCCGCCGCCATTTTAAAATCAAGTACGCAGCCACGCCTACCCGATCTCAGGGATTTCGAGTATATACACTCGGATATTCTGCAGTACCAGCAATCCATGTACTGAAGTAGGTCTGGTGAAGCTACTCCAGCTTCCGGATTGCTCTAGAGTTATTTGCCGTACGAAAGGAAGCAACTGGTAAATACTCAAGTTAGCCTTAGCATCAACGGTTCACCTCTTTGCACTGCCATCTTCTCCTTTAATGTTGATTAAGGTTGATGCTGAACGAAGTGGCGAACTTTTTGACGAGATTCGGACTTTGCAGCATGAGCAACACCTCAAATGTTATCCGCATCAGGAGTTTGCGTTTTAATTGTATTCCAAAGCGCAATTACACGACTTGGCAAAGTGCCAAGAGCGCTGCGCGCGACACGCGCCGCGCGGACGGCTGTTAGTATAAACGGGATCGGGAGTCTGCGCCGCAAGTTGCATTTTAGGCGGAGCATGGAGGAATTAGCGTGTCCCACAGTTTCCATTCCTGCGCATGTTCGGACGGGGAAACCGCTATGTTTTGAGAGGTGGGGGCTAATGGTGCACAACCAAACTATGTGTGGTCGTAGCATGAGTCTTTAATACGCCTGGTAGAAAGGGATTCCCTGCCCCTGCGAGGGCGTGACCCCTGCTTCAACAAGAGCAACCTTATAGCGCCCCATCAAGCTGCAACATACCGACCGGCCCACCGCGCCCGCCCGCCCACAAATGGACGACCGTACCTGATGCTCGTATTGCTTCATTTGCGAAGTAAAATATGAAGCGAAGGGATTGATATGAAGCGGCTGCGGTGCTGCATGGATATATGAGTACATACATGCCGTTACGCTAGCGGTATTGGCACGATCCCAGCGAGGAACTCGTTCGGAAATGCTTCTTGAGTCATCTAGAATGAAGGCTTTACAACCGTTTCACTGCGTTTTTTCCGCTATATAGCACCTTGCTAGCATTTTAGAACGAGTAACAAGTTGTCGCGTCATATGCCTTTAGTTTGGAGAACAATCGTTGCTGACATCGTAGTCACGGGGAAACGTGCAACAGAACCATAAGGCACCGGGCACGCGCCGCATAGCGCGGCAAGGGACGCGGCAGTTTTCGGTGCATTTGCTAGATGATTACTTTGCGACTGGAGCAGAGCGCACGATATTGCATGCGCATGGCTGTCCCTTATCCTTCCGCTCCTGTAGGAAACTTCTGCCTATCATACTTCGATTTACACCTGGAAGGACAGGCTAACAATTTCTTTCTTTAGTTGAAATTATTTTAATCGATCTTTTCTACGGTTTTATGCTCCGAATGCTTCAACAATCGAATCAAATATTGGTACTGGAACATTAAGGATGAAGGCTTCCCATGTATCAGAACTTACGTTCACCGTTGTTACATACTGTCAACGTTGCAGACTTTTCTCCGAAAGTCACCGCTATATGCTGAGTTATGGGCAAAAGTCTTGAGTGGCTACATCACGGCTTTGCGTGCAGTACGCGTTCGAGGCTAATCGGAGCAGGCTGTTGCCCATATTCAGCATTCTTGATTTGATTGAAGCTGTTAGTGCTTTCGAGTGGTACTCTCCTGCTCCCTATTCTTACGGCCTTGGCATGCAGTGGTATCTTGTGCATGTTCTGTGTGCCTTGACAGGCTGAACTTTTACTCGTGCACACAGAAATAGCACAAGATATCTAAAAATAAGATGAAGCCATATTAGATCCAGTTCGGCTAGCTAAAATAACCCTTATCCGATAGTAAACGAAGTTTCATACCGAAGAGGGACAGTTGGAGAAGCACGTCTGTAGAGTTTTGCAGCAGGTCACAGCAACCCCCAACTTTTAATACCTTTTTTTCCTAATTCCGCGGTATGGAAGGATGAGTGCAAGCTGAAAGTGGTCTTTGTATCACAATAAGTACAGATGGAAAATAACAGTTTAAGCTATTGGTAAATGAATAATAGGACGGAATACTGACGACGAGCTCGGCGACGGGAAGTCCACTAGGCCCGAGGGTGGCAGAGGCGAATGTGTCCGGAGAGCATCCAGAAGGAACGGTCGTCGAGTCAACCCGCCTCTGTCGTATTACAGGTCTCCTCGCCTTTTGTGTTGCTCCGCCTCCTGCAATCAGCAAGCGTCATCGATGAGGCTAAGCTCAATCTGAAAACCACCTCTAAGGGAAAGAAGCTAATGGTAAGCTCAATATCTTTTCTTACACGTTCTTAACTTTTACAATCACTATTAATTTGCTTTAATACCTCAACGACCGCCAAATGTTGCATATCTAGTTGGATAATAATTGCTTGCTGGTAATACTGGGATATCGGTAGTCCACAAGGTCCACAAAATCCTTAATACAGTAATTTTCTTATGTAACTTCACACTTTACAGCTACTTTTTCGCTCCGATGATTCCGTGGTCATAGTCTCACAGTTACTTAGAACTGGATTATGACATCATGACCATGGGATCAGCGCAACGATAAGTGTATCAAAGCAGTAAAAACTATTCCTATAATGCGTCATTTTAGCGCGGAGCCGGCTGCGTTTGGGATATCCTCAGACAGGATGAGATAGCTGGAACCCCCTTAACCTATGCAACATTATGTTCTTTTTAATTCGGTTGGCACGGTAAGTCCCGAAGACGAGTATTAATTCGCCTGGCAATTCCGAGCCCCTGAACAGGCGCTGCGTAGCGCCACTTCCAGGGAAGATTCACCTATAAGCCCTATCAAGCCGCAACATACCAACCCGGACTCCCACCTCGCTCTTAAATGGACAACCCTACCTGAGGTTCGTTTGCCAAGAACAGTATGAAGCAAGGGGATTGATATGAAGCGCCTGCGGTGCTGCATGGATATAAGACTACGCACATGCAGCCGTCTCTTCAGTAGTGATTATTGGCATAAGCCAACGAGGAACTCGTCCGAAATTGCTTTCTGGTCGTGTAAGGCAATGGTTTTTTTGTAGGTTTTTGACCATTTCACAGCCGTTGTCGAACTGAATAACACCCCTGCCATCATGTGAGACCGAGTACAAATTATTGTGGCTCATACCTTCAAGTTCCCTATTAGTTCTCAGTGATATGGAATGTTGTCCTCAGAGTTGTGTGTGGTTTTGAACTGGCTAGGACTGAAGTCTTTCATACTTCGCGACAGCAGCGGCGATCGCGGCGACCTCGGCGATCGCCGCGATCGTCGGTACATGGCAGAGCGCGCAACGCTATTACTTGGACCGCTCCGAAGGCTTTAGGGGAGAAGCGACTCAATTTCATGTTTTTTCCTTTAACTGCAATTTTCTTAGGTACTGAAGCTTGGTTTGATAGCGTGAGAACTTCATTTAGGGTAGGTTTTTATTGTTTCTTTTTTCATTCGTCGAGCTTATACATGAGGTTATAAAGTTTTCACCTGTTGATGTTGCGTAAAATGATTAGTGTTTTGGTTCCTAGGTGATTTCTGTTTCTTTTTTTTCTTCGTTGTTTGAACTCGACTTGTAAACTATAAATGTTTTGGAAGTTGGAACAGTTCAGACGATAGGAACTTTTAAGGCGCTTGTATAAATTGAAACAATAAAAACAAAAGAAAAAAAGAAGCTCACCCAGGAAATGGAGTTGGCCTTATCCCGACCTAAAAAGAAGTGAAACCTCCTTACCTCATATTCCAGATCCGCTTATGTATAGAAAGTCGTAAGTTATCAGTTAGTAGCCATTATTAAGAGAAAAGAAGGTCTCACAAGTTGGATTCCCTTATTTATCAAGCGAGCGGTCCATAATAGCGTTGGGGCGCGCTCTGCCACGTACCGACGATCGCGGCGATCGCCGAGGTCGCCGCGATCGCCGCGATCGTCGCTGCTGTCGCGAAGTATGAACGCTGCCTTATCTTTACAACGTGATTCCCTAGTTCATTTCGCTTGGATCATTTTTGTGAGGGAGAGGGATGTGTTTCGGTGGAACAGGCCCCTCTCCCTCAAAATCTGGTTCAAGTGACGGTGCTGGATGGTCTAAGGCTTAATTGTATGAGTTTTATAACATTCGTGGTTGGAAACCCCGGCTGGAGTCAGTGCACCCCTCAAACATCAGACCTGAACCTCCCAACGGCGACCAATCGCTACATACCACACGTATGAAAAGAGAGTTTCGCCTACATCAAGCATCACTGCAGACTCACCTGCTTCAACTGTGCTCACGTGAATCACTGAGAATGCTGAGTTACGGCAAAAGTCGCGACCGCATCGGAACGGGATTGTAAACCCGCATCTTCTGCTTACCGGGCAGTTGCGTTCCCTACTACGCTACCGAGGCCACTTTTGGCTATTTGTGCCATTGCCTTCGATCACTCACACATTCAACGTTGAGCCGCTTAACCGATATCGGCAGTGAACCGCAAGGCTGAAGGCTTTTTACAAGTTTCAAGCTGTTATTTGTTATAACTGCTGTTTAACGCCGCAGTACGCGATCCGAAAGCTATCACAAGAATGCTGAGTTATGGGCAAAAGTCGGACCACGGACGGGATTCGAACCCGCATCTTCTGCTTACCGGGCAGTTGCGTTCCCTCACTCATCCGTTCCTCAACCGGCTCATCACGTTGAACGTGTGAGTGCTCGAAGGCAATGGCACAAATAGCCATTGAGCTGAGT